ACTACCGTTAAAAAATAGTCCATTTTTAACTCATTTTGAGCATTTAGAAACCTTGGTACGACAACAGTTCCGAAGAGTGAGCAGTTAAATGCAGAAAACAAGAAAGAGAGAGATACAGTTTTTATTTTTAAGTCCTCCACTTGCTAAGTATGTCGATATGCCATAGACTCTAGTACTCTTACTTGTAGACTAAGAGCATTATCTTTAGCTAGATAGATTATCAATAATGAACAAACTAATAATACTACGATTTACTTGGTTATCGTTTAAACGATAGAATGTTATATATAGTAGTTTCGTGACTCTTTGCAATCTTTTGTTTTCAATCATACAAATACAAATGCATTATTGTAATTTATGTTCCATCATTCCGCTCGTCCGTCAATTTTATCACTATAATGAGAAATATTTCTACATCCGTTAACCTTTTATCTAAATTATTTGTGCTCCAAACTTTTGTTTGGACCATCACTATGGAAAGGTACGCTTCGCCATAAATGTCACCAAAGACTACCGTTATGGGAATAATATTGCTATGTGGAACCTTACAATACCAACCACATGTTGTCTATATTAGCTAAGAAAATTCATAAAATATTTTTATATATAAGAAAACAAAAATATCACATGTTGTTAACATATATATATATAGCTATCCGAATCAGAATGCCGGATTTCGCGGTCTAAATAAGGTAAGAGTTAGTAGTAACTGCCAATATATAAATGGAAAGCATAAGTGCCAACCTTCCACTAAAGGAAAGTAGTTAGGCTTGAATTGGTTTGGAGAAAAGTCACCTTCTACTTTGGGTAAATAGTGAGCATCTAATTGCTCGTTTCAACAGATTCCCTCAGAAATTGTTTATTATAACATTAAAAATGCTGATACGTGGACGGCTGTAATTTTATCAGATTTAATAAATTTTAATTTATATAGTAATTTAGTGTCCATGATAAAACAACTAATGTTTGTAGATACAAATAATATTTTTTTTAAAATAAAATAAATTAATTTTTTGATTTAGCATTAATACTGCTTGAAAGTATGATGTTATTATCAATCACTTCGCTATCAATAATTACCATTTAAAATTTATTTTTAAAAAAAAATTATTACACACATATATATGACCATTAGATAAATCATCATGTTATGTAAATAACCAATTTGATTTTGAAGATAAAAATTTATCAATCATTTTCTAATCAGTCTTTGTAGTATGATTACTTATCATTTTTTTGTCATTTATCTTCGTCTCATGAATTTATATATATTTTGATTTCTGTTCATCGTAGAAAAATATTTGAGATTTTATCATACTATTTTTTAAACGTTATTCTTTCCTAATAGGTTGACAAATAAAAGATTTAAGATCATTTTTAAGTTAAATGTTTGGTTAAGAAAATGAAGTTGGATTAAATGTAAAATTTTCTTTTTATTGAGCTAAAAACCTTTTAATAAAAAAAATCTTTCATATTTCATGAAATATATAGATTTTAAAAATACTATTAAAAATATTATTTTACTTTTAATATTTTAGATGTATGGTTACGTCAGTTAATTTTTACTAATTGTTTCAAT